GCCATCAGTTTATTATTCATTTCGCTGCTGTTATATATTTCTATTTAATTTTCGGAGAATGATAATTTTAGCCAATTTATTTAACCAATATTTAGTATAAAATTTCTATGCATATATCGAAAAATTTCCATAGACGACATACTTCATTTCCTGAGACATTCAGTTTATCATTAAAAAAAATTAAAAATCTGATAAGTTTTTAACGAACGCGCGAAAGAGTTTGTTAAGGTTTTTTATGCTCTCGCTAAGCTCGCAGTCTATTAGTCTGCTGTTTTCATTCCTGCTAACACATTTTCTTCGCATTCACGCCATATACAATTCAACAGCAAAATCACAAAAATTTCAAAAGCATCATAGCAGTATACGTTTTATACGTTTAGAATTCCAGATGCAACGTTAAATATTGACATATATTTTTCTGTGTTTTTCTCAGTTCATCATGCCAATGCTTAGTTTTCTTAATAAGATGGCTTTACAAAACTTTTTTTTGTCTCTTTATTAACGTGTTGTGTATTTTTTTATTTATTAAATATCATTTTCTTGACTCTTACGGCACATAAAATTCGATTCAACAGCAAAATCAGAAAACATTAAAAAGCAGCATTATCTTCAGAATTTCCCATAGACACTCTCGTATGCTGGAAATGAAAGTGTTTTACTCCTTTCACTGTTGCCACTGCTCGCTTTCAAATCCTTGAGTTTGTTAATTAAAATATTCATTCACTATTTACGAAATATGAAATAGGTAATAATATAAACTGGAAATTCAAAATTTGAGCTTTTATTTGCGCATGTTCGGGTGGAAGACTACCTTATTTAAAATTAATGGCTCTAGGTACCGCTGCTTTTTTCACAATATGAGGACCATACAATATATACATACATATAGATTCTTCATTATTTAATTTCTTTAATGATAATGCAGGACGAGAGTATAATGGGAGCAACAATTTGAAAATGATTCGCCCTTTATAGTGGAAATTTTTATAGTGGAAAATCCCGTTTCGAGACAAACGGCCATTCGGATAGCGCCATTTTGGCTAACGTCTTTTTTTGGCCTAATAAAGTTTTACTTAAAATATAGCTTCTTAACTAATCTGGACAGAAAGCTTCTAAGAATCAAATTCTCGGAAGTTATACATAGGGCGACATACAAATATCAAAATCGAAAGGTTTAATGGTTTCCTATACTGAAACGTTTTTCAATTTGTGCACGGCCATACATAATTTAAGCAAAAAATAACATTTACGTGCTTATATATTCATTCCTAGAGTCATTTCACCAGCTCGATGACCGGTCCCCTTTTGTGCTTTTTTATTTTTGATTCTGTCTACGTTTAATCAGCAGAGAATCGGAAAAACGGAACGAAATGCTAATGAATTTGTGTGACAAATGAGGACTTTCTGCAGCAAACGTCACGATGATACATTCAGTACTGCGATTAGTGCACAGAAGTCACGTGATGACTGCAGTCACGAAATACGTAAAGTGAGACGCACTGATTCCTAGTTAGCAAAGTCGCTAACCTTGAAGTTCTCCTAATTTCAGTTTCATATCTCTACGTCTGATCTTTGTGCTCTGGAAATTAAAAGATTTTACACCATTTTTAACTTGAATTTATTAATCAAAGGAGATTCATTCGTCAGATTGCAGTAACGTAAAATGCAGAAATATAATGGTTAAAAACAAATGATATTCATAATAGGAAAAAAAAATTCTGTAATTATTTTTTTAAAATTTTTTCCTCCCTTGAAATTAAATTAGAAATCATTGAATTTCATTAAGAATCGAAGAAGAAATAAAATAATCTGATGATTTAATAAACCTTGTCAATGAGTCAAATTATGAGTTCTTTTTGTAGTGTATACCGTAGCTCGTATACAAGCGCCACCAGAAATGGATAGAAGATAACCTTTTCTGGTGTCTTGACCTTTCATAATTAACAAAAATATTTAAAATCCCGTCATTTACTTTAAGGGGAGAAAACACTAAACAGAATATAAATTGTAACGTGTAATACTCCTATAGAGTTTATTTTAAAATTTTTCACTTTTAAAGGAAGTAAATAATTAAACTCAACAACAGCTAAAATTCCAGCAGTTAAAATTTTCCAACATTTGCTGATGTTTATAATCCTTAAAAAAATAAATAAAATAAAATAAAATAAAAATAAATATCAGATATTCATACAAAAAGCATATCTGGAGTACAAAAAACATATCATATATACAACAGATAAATGTACAAAAACATATCAGATATTCATAACCAGACATGACGGATAAACATTATTTCGTTACCGATATTTGTTTTATATATTTCGTTACAAAGCAGTTTATATTTTCTTACATCTGCTATCAAAATACTTACAAACAATTATATGTTTCATGTATCAAAAATAACTATTACTTTTTAGTAAAGAATTTTGATTGCTAATTTTTATTTATTTTTGGTCAGTATTTAAAAGGATTAAAAAACCAGAAGGTTCTGTTAGAGCTTCGACAAAATAGAATACAAAGTATAGAAGTACATGAATGAAGAAAATATAGTGTTTGGTCCAAAAAATCTTTGGAAACATTGAGGTTGAATATTTTTATTATTAATAAATTTGCTACACTGTTTTAACATGGCTAAATAACAGGAAATGTATTCACTACAGAATTTTTCTCAGGCGGGAATTTGTCACGGATTACTTACTGCAAGTTCACGGGTTATTGTCTGAGAAGCAATGTGCAAAAGTGTTGCAAACGTTGCATAAATCGTTCGGTTATCAGGTGTTGCCAGTTCACGTGGAACATACTTCTCATTTAAAGTCCCCTTAAAAAAAAAAAAAAAAAAAAAAAAAAAAAAAAAAGAAAGAAAGAAAGAAAGAAAAAAACTTTTGCTACATTTTACTTTTGATGTTATGAATAGTAATCCTTCAAATACCTACATACAGGTTAATAAAATAACTAAATATTAATTATGATTATTCGATTATCTCTGAATATGTGTTAAATAGCCATTTTAAACTCTGTGCGCTTGTCTTTTCTGCCCCAGAGTGGTAAATGAGCTCCCATATTTAATAACTTCTGAAAGGTGTGAAAACATGTTTAGTTCTTTTGATTCTTCCGTCATAGACATATTGACAGAATATTTTTCATAAGATTTATTCAAGGTATATTAAATAGTTAAATAAATCAACCCATTTGCCTACCTTCAACGGTATGTAATTACAGGTTGTCTCATGTTTAATTGGTGTTTTTCGCGTTAATTTTCTACCCACTTGCAAACTTAAAGGTGATACTCAATGATGATATTACAACACCTGTGAATTAACATTATCATAAATCGCGCATTAATTAGAATATAACTAGAAATAAGTACTGTGTGATTTTGAATGTAACTGAACATATAAATGAGAATTATATCTTGAAGAAAGAAAGGGACAACGCAGGAGTTAATTACTAGCATTTAAATTTTTACCCTAATATATCGCTTGGTTTTTCGTCATACCCTATAAATTTTGATTTAATGTAAGAAAAATTTTGTATCTATTTTAAATGACAGTATCTGAAAGAATTTTATACTAAGAATATAATTTGTGATTAATAAAATGAACGATTTTTTCTCAATCAAGTTTTGGCAAGAGCTATGCTGTTATCCTCTTAATTTATGCTTGCCCTTTTAGAGATATTAGGTATTTTTGAAGCAGGAGTACATAAAAAATAAGCAGTGCCATCGCCGGGACTTGAACCCGGATTTCTCGATTACGCGAGGAGTTTGCTAACCGTAAGTGCTAATGCAGAAAGAAGGTGCTTTCCAGTGGCGATATATAAAAATTTCGCAACGCAATTAACTTACAGATTTCTATAATTACTAGCACAAGCAGAGGTCTTATAGATGTCTGTTGTGCTTGAATAATGAATAAAATATTCTTCAGCAACCTAATGTTAGATGTCATTGCTTTGGCTGGGAATGAAGCCTGAAACTTACTCCGCATTAGTGCTCTTATGAAACTAAGTTATCCAGAATCATTCAGTAACCTTAGCTTTTATTTAACTATAAGATTCGCATAATTTGAGTTAGACTAATTAATTAATGAGACCATGAGTTGACCAAGTAAGTGTACTTAGGTCCACAGCTGAAGATCCCTCACCGGACTTCCATTATAAAAGTTTACCAGCGACTGTATTGATAACACTGAACAATCGGGTTCAAATCCGGATGAATGAGTTGTTTTTCTCTGCTTTTTCAGATATGTAACAAAGACGAGCCAGATTTCCTTAAAAAATAGGTTCATCAAGTAGGTCCACAAATGAAGGTCCCTCATAGAACTTATAAAAGTTAACCATTATAAAAGTTCACCAGCGACTGAGTGGATATCACTGACCACTCAGATTCTGATCAGGATGAACGAGCTGTTTTCTCTAGTTTCCTATATATGTAACACGAATACGGGAATACGGTTCAGTTAATTCTATAGCTTCTTTAGAAAGTCATTCATCCCTTCCTTTCCACAGATTGCCAAATGTGCTCTGCCATTATACATAATAAACCCAAAATCCAAATTCCATTATAGGAGTATAATGTGTGTGTGTGTGTGTATTTAATTATGGCAAAGCACACTAGGGCTATCTGCCTAAGGGGAGGGATGCCTTCGTGGAGGACTTTTTAAGGGAAACTGGCTCGTATACACGTTACACATGGGGAAAACCACGAAAACACCCATGCAGCCAGTCCGTTCGCGGGATTCGAACCTCGGACCGAACTACCAGTGTTCAGCGACGTTACCGCTCGGCCGCTGGTGGGCTCATTATAGGTGTATAATTTAAACTGTTTTTGAATGAAGGGGAAACCATGAGTACTGTTTTCATTCAAATAACTATTAATTAACTATCGATTCTATTTTCATAAGCATTGAATACATAATAATATAATAATACTGTTTCCCAGTTTTAAATAAATAGCATTAAAATGATAAAATAATCGTCATCTAAGTTCTGTTTGATTTTTCTAGGCGACAGAGTAGACAAGTCACATCTCCTGACCAACGGTTACAGCCATCATGTAGCTGCAGCGCAGGCCGCTGTAGCCGCAGCGACGGGTGCTGGCCCACCCCACCTCAACCCTCTACCCTTCATGGCCCTAAACCATGCGGCGGCAGCAGCAGCCCACCACAACTCCATGCTGTCCGGTACTTTACCCTTGGCGGCGACAGGGGGCCATCCGGGTGCTGCTCAGGGGCTCAATTCGTCCTCACATGGTCACCTCAACTCATCCTCGTCGTCGGGTAGGGGACCTGAATCTTCTTCTGTCATCAAGGAAAGAACCTCACATGCCAATGACGTCATCAACTCCACAAGGTGATTTATTTTTCTGATTTAATAATAAATAACACACACACCCAAAAAAAAAAAAAAAAAAAAAAAAAAAAAATTGGTTATGGAACTGCTATCTTTTCATTGTTTATGATTTAACTTACTTGTTATTCCGAGTAAATTAAATGAAATGTGCAGATGCAGCCTTAACCAGCTTATGCAGATAGAAAATCAATCTTCCACGAGAGAAAATAACATTTTTTGAGATAACACAACAACCCTAATTAGGAACTTTTCGCTAACATGCCTAGACTATTAAGTTTAATGCAATTTCTACAGCTGAATTTAGAAATGGTCTTAATTTATAACCTTGTCAAACAATCCTAAATGATTAGCTCTTTCCTCGTCGTTAGCTTCGAATACGTTACATCAGTATTCTTTACGATAGATTTAGGCTACTTTTACGTGTGAATTTTCTCAGAACTCTTATCACTCGTTAAAATCTCAGCTCTTTATATCCGTTAAAACTGATAATAAAATCTTTTATAAAATGACATTATTTAGATTATATTTTTCGCTTTGATATAAAACCGAATTATTGTTTAAATTAATAAATGGCTATAGGAGAATTTATAAGAATTAAAAGAAAGTATTTTTTATTTAAAATAGAATATTTTAATTTTTAATCTTATGCTTTCATTATAATCCATACACTAACTTAAACACGCATAAATTTTAAATTGCTATGTTTTTTTACTTTTAATTTTCTTATCATCTTTCACTAAAGATAACCTAAAAATTTCATTTTGTTCATGATTTTTAAGTATTTATTAAAGCTTATCAACTGATAATTCAAAAGTTCAAGTAAAGTACGATTAAAATTTAAAACTTCCAAAATTTTAGTAATTTTTTTCAAAAATTTTTTTAATTTACTAAATTTTGAAAAAAATATGTAATACATTTTATTATTAAAGGAATAATGATCCCAAACTTCTACTTGATTAATATTTTGTGTGACTGCATTAATTAATACAGCAGTGTGCATGCAAAATGTGTGTAAACATATGTAAAACATACTTCGTTTTTTATATTGTGTATGAAATAGACTTCAAAATTTCTCTCTCTCTCTTAACCTTTCATTTTCATTTATATCAGATTGAGGAAAATAATATAGATTTGTAATTACAAAAATTATTAGAATTATTATTATTAAATTACTAAAACAATGCTTCAAGAATGAAATTAGGAAAATCTGCGAGAAAATTAATAGTATTATAGCTTAAACACATGCGTATTTGGGAGGGGAAAAAAAAAAAAAAAAAAAAAAAAAAAAAAAAAAAAAAAAAAAAAAAAACCACGAAATTGGCTGACGGAGGACTCAAAAACCCCATAGATAATAATTTAATTCCTATCCTATAGGATCCTGTCAACATCAGTAATTAATATCTAACGAATTTCATCGCAAAATGGAAAAAAAGGAACGAGAAATGCTTTGCACAATGATTTTGTAGTTTAATGGCATCTACAATGCTTATATTTTTATTAGCTTCTCAGTTTCCTGATGATTCTTAGCAATACAACGCAAATTTTAATTGCCAGTATATATCAATGGCTTTATATATTTGAAAGGCATTTCTAGAGGAAAAAAATTTTTTTTTTCATTTAATTTTTTTGCATATAATAAATTCAGAGTAAATAAAAAATTATCTAAAGATTTACAAAAACTTCAGCGACTGTATCCGCCATTGAAAAATGAGGAACTAGGTAAGAGAGTTCATGCATCTTAATTTACTCTCCTTTTTCCTCTGAATTAATAAATTGTTCATTTAAGCTAAATTTCTAATCATTTGATTTCATATTTTCGTTATGGGTGGAAAAACTTACTGTCATAATTAGAATAGTAAAAAATCTCTACCCGTTTACATAGATATGAATTAATTTAAAATTGATACTAACTTATTTCTAGACGCTTGCAAAATTTGTAATCTTAAAAACAGAAATAAAATTATAAAACTATATTCTTTACTTCTTATGAAGGGGAAATTGTTATATCATTTGATTAAAATAATTAAATAAATGTGTGCAAGAAAATGTGGGCATCAATAAAAAACTGTACTTTGTCTATTATTTATTTATTTATTCACTACCAAAGTATACTCGAAATTGATGTCAAATAAAAAGATAGACAGTAATAAAAAAAAACTATCATCGTTACATCAAATATCTTTATTAAATCTACGAAATATCAAACTCAGAATTTTAAGTAAAAATTAAGTTTGCATGCGTAGATGAACCTCACTAAGCAGTTTTTCAAAAGGTGAATGCTTGAAATGAAATAAGACGGTATTTAATTTACTGAAGAGTTACAGATTTTAACGGTTGCCCAAAAGAGATTGTCAAGTTAAAGTTTTTTTTTTTTTTTTTTTTTTTTTTTTTTTTTTTTTCCCCGCTTTCGCTGAGCTTGCAGTCTACTTAGTCTGCTCTTGCACTCACTCCTCCTACTAACCTACATTCCTTTTTGCTGTCTTTTTAGCTTTATTTTTGAGCACGGTTTTCTTTGCACTTACGCCACATACAGTTCAACATATATATATATATATATATATATCTTTAAAAGCTGCTTAGCTGCATGTTTAGAATTCTCGATGCATTGTTAAATGTCAGCACGCATTTTTATACTTTTTTCAGTCTTTTCTCAGTTCATCATATCAGTACTCAATTTTCTTAGCTAAGATGACTAATAATTTTTTTGGTCTTTTTATTATTTAATTTTTATGTGTTATGTGTTGATTTTACTTATTAACTGTCACTTACCTTGAACGTACGCCGCATAAAATTCAATTCAACTGCAAAATCACAAAATATAAGCATATCTTCTATAAAAGCATAGAATTCCCGACAGACAGTCTCACGCGCTGAAGATGCAAATGTTTTATTTCGTACAGTGTTGCCACTGCTCCCTCTCAAATCGTTGAGTTTGTCAATAAAAAATCATTAAAATTTTACAAAGTATAAAATAAGTAGTAAAATAAATTCGAATTTCAAAATTCGGGCTTCCAGGTGCTTATGTTCGGTTGGAGGACGTTATTTAAAATTGGATGGCTTTAGGTACTGTCGTTCTTTTCACAGTGCAACATACATACACGCAGACTTTTTATTATTCCATTTCTGTAACAGTAATACAAGGCGATAATATTGGTGGCAACAATTTGAAAAGTGATACGTGGTTTATAGTGAACCAAAACAAAATCCCATTTCGAGACTTATAGCCGCTTTTGGGCTAAAAATCCGTAACTTACTGGAAAATGATATAAATAAGTAACATATAAAGCAACATTCTAAGAAACAACCCCAAAAAATCAACTAGATCACGAAATTCCATTCGCCATAAACAAATGATTAAGACATCAGACATTGAGGTTTCCGTGAGGGAATCCACCCAACACGAGCGTTTTTGAACTACCTGAACTTTATTTTTTTTATCTCTTATCACCTTTTTTGACCATTATAAAGAAACACGAAATAAAAGTACTATCTATTTAAGATCATTCAGTAGTAATTCCGCATACAATACACAAAATGTGAATAATTGTTCTTAGCTCTCAATCTCCATCCTTCTCATTCTCAGAGATGTTATGATAAGGGTACTTTGGTGCAAGGTTTTAAAAACTCATTCAGGCCGAGATAACAAACTCTTCGAAGATAACTAATTCGGGCTCCTAGAAAGGAGTGATAATTATCGGTTGTCCGCGTACAATGGCTTTTATGGTAGCCCCGAGGTAAAACAAGGTCATCGCGATTTTGCAGCTGCAGCGGAAGCCAAAGCAGCTGCAAAATCGGAGTACAGATTTTGGGTTGCCGTTCTGCGTGACGATTTTGTCTTTTTGTTTATATTGCTAAATGGAAATTGGAATGTAAAAATTAAATTTTAATGAGGTGTGTGAGTGACGCTAATTAAGGATTTTCATGTAAGGCGATTTTAAAGCGGTTTTTATTGAATTTAAACAACCTATTGTATTCAGTATATTCGCCACATTTATGCCATTAATCTTTAGATAAAACAGAACGACGGGTTTAACAAATGTAGGATATTTAAAATAATGAGCACTTAAGTAATAACAAGGAAATTTAAAAATAACTTATCCGTGTAAGGTGGGAAAGATGAGTCAAATTTTTACCTCAATATTTTAAATACTATTGGAATTCTATGAGAAAATAATATGATATATCCTAAAGGTGCTAGTATGTATTTTGAACTGCTTCAAAGCAACCAAACGATCGACTTAGATGTTTACTACAGACAACTTATGAAACTGAAGGAAGCAATCAATCACAAAAGGCCGAGATTGGCAAATCGCAACAATGCGAGTCCTAGCACACATTTAGCAAGTTAGTACGAAATTATTGAAGCTTGGGTGGGAAGTGATGTCGCAATCCCCATATATCCTCGACCTTGTATTATCATTTATTTCGAAGTTTACAAAATTTCTTAAATGATAAAAATTTCAGTAGTAACGATGACCTCAAATCGCATTTGGTGGAGATTTTGTTGATAAAGACCAGAAGTTCTATGAAGTCTCGAAACCATGAAGTTACCAGAAAGATGGCAAAAGGTCATCAAGCAGAATGCAAGATATTTGACTGATTAAAGTTCCTATTTTATATAGAAAAATTTGTGTTTTATTTGATGATAAAAAACCGAAATTACGTTCTTGGCAGCCAGAAATGATGCTGTGTTTACAAAATAATTCTGTGCGATAGTAAAGCAAAAAAAGTTACTATTAAAAAAAAAAAAAATCTGAAAGGCTTCAGGTTTTAAATTACGTCCAAAGGGGCGTTTTTTTAAAAACATTTTGTGTGTTACCTTTATTTATTAAATATCATGTTCTTCGCGCTTACACCGTAAAATTCAGTTCAAGAGCAATATGGCAAAATAATTTTAAAATGAGCATCTCTTTTGAATTTCCGATACACAGTCTGGACATAAAAATGTTTTTTTTTTTTCTGTATAACGTTGCCATTGCTCGCTTTGGAATCCTGGAGTT